TTTAAATTGCCTTCAAAAATCGAACAGAAAAAAAAAATTGGGATGGATGAATGATTTGTGGTCGGGGGAGCAGTATGCAGCTTTTTATATTGACCAAAACACGGATTCTCATAATCCGTGTTTTTGTTTTTTTTATTAAAGTAACACGAATTTTGGTAATCCGCGTTTTCCAGTATTAATATTAAAATCCACCGACAGTTTCGACTTTCATTTTAAAAAAATAAAATAAAATGTAAAACAAAAACGGATTCTGAAAATCCGTGTTTCGGTTAAAAATTTTAATTAGAAACACGGATTTTCAAAATCCGTCCGTTTGATTTTTTTTCCACAATTATTTCTTTTTTTTTTTTTTTTATGTTTTGCCACATATTTTTATATTTTTTTTTAAAAAATAACCCACCCCAAAAGAGGCGGTCTTTTCATTTACCCACCCCTCCTTTATCTTCTCTGCCAGAGGAAAAAAAAAGTGGCGATCGACAATATCAGATTATCCTCCTCTCTGGCCCAACCATAGCCTCCCTCATCCACCGCAGGCAACTTCCGCGGCAAGCTCTTCAGTCATGCCGCCGTCGACACTGTCAAACCCTTCTCTGACCATCCAATCGACGCCGCCTCCCTCCTCATCGTGAAAGACTTTAAGAAGAAAAATCGTGCAACTCCGATCGAGCTCGCACAAAGCCCTAACTCTTCTTTCAAGGGGTGATAAGGATTCCAATGCTGATGACCGCTCATTTCAAGCTCCTCCTGAGAATGATAATGATATTTCGAGTTTTATTTTTTATGAATGATGATACTATTTCAGCTGATAAGCATTCTCTCATATCCCTCCTTTCGCAGGTCGTGGGAAACGAGGCACCATGAACTGTTAGTGTGTTATTATTGTTGATTTCTTTTCTTTTCTTTTCTTGTTAATTGATTTTCTTGATTGGGAGTTTTATTCATGGAGAAAACTGAACTTCTTTGCCAAAAAAAAAAATAAATAAAAAAAATGCACAGATAAAGTATGAAGAGTTTTAAGTTGGCATCAATGCTTTGGTTGCAATTGTTAGTGTTGTTTTGGTAAAAATATGCTGATTTTTCGTTGATTTTCTTAAGGCATTGCTTCATTTTCGTGTCGACATTTTCAGTCTCAGATTTGTAGTTCTCTTTCTCAAGAAGAAAAGAAAAATTCAATTGTTGCTGCTGCTCATATTTTGTCCAGATTTAGTTTCTCTAACCTCCCTTTTTCAACCTTTTTCTAGATTTCAGCACCACTATCATTCGTGTAATTTCCTTTTTACCTCACTGAATCAAGGGTTTTTTTTTTTTAATCAAGAAACAAAGCTTCTGAATCTGTGAGAGTGAGTTCGAATGGAGATTTGTTAATTTCTTGATCTGGGTCTATCTTATCACAGCCAATTAATCAATTTCCTCAGTCGGCCGATGCCTTCGGTGAAAGAATTAACGAGCAAGATTTGCTAGATTTGTGGGGACGAGATGGAGTTCACTGTGGACGGCGAGCCATTTATGGTCTGCAATGAGTGCACTTTCCCGGTCTGCAGGCCTTGCTACGAGTACGAGAGGTGGGAAGGGAATCATGCTTGCCCACAGTGCAAGACCAAGTACAGACGCATCAAGGGCAGCCCGTGGGTGGACGGGGATAAAGACGAGTATGAGTTTGAAGATCTTGAATATGAGTTAGATTAATGGTAACGAGAAGAGAGATCCCAATCAATTCTCATAAGTTGGTTATTCCAATTGATGGGACATTTGGCTTCTGGTATCACAAATCAATCGGAGTTGTATCCTGTCAACCCTGAGATTCCTCTTCTTGTGGCCATGAGGTAGATTTTTTTCTTTTTTTTTTTGGAAGAAAGATTCAATTTTTATTGAAAAATGTTATTGATATTTTGAGTTTTTTGTATGAATGATGATATTTCAGCTGATAAGCATGCTCTCATTATCCCTCCTTTCGTGGGCGTGGGAAACGAGTGCACCCAGTGCTATATACAGATTCATCCATGACATGTGAGTGTGTTATTATTATTGATTTTTTTTTTCTTTTCTTGTTAATTGATTTTCTTGATTGAGAGTTTGATTCATGGAGATTGTAATGTATTTGCAGCACCTCCAAAACCTATGGATCCCAAGAAGGATTTACACTTGCCTATCACTACTGTTAGAATACCGACACATAAGCTCAACTTGAAATATGGAATCGCTAAGGTGAGAGAGGGTTATAAGTAGCTTAAGCATATGAAGTTGTTGGATAACACCAAGTCTCATGCCTGAAGACCTAGAATGTGATTGACATCAATTTCACTTTATGTCATTGTACGCAGCTTCTCCGCTTCTCACGCTTTCTCTCTTCCCCCTAATCTTCAGATCTTTGAAAACCAAGAACAAGCACATACGCATACCATTATGTGTTTTTCTGAGTAGAGAAAATGAAATGAGACTGTGTTGCGACGGCTGGCCTACACGACTCGACATGAGAAGATGGGTTTGAAGACGACCGATTCATGAAAAGATTGACGACGTTTTGTGGGCAGCACCGGTCAGATCTAGACCAATCGAGCGCCGCGGCCATCCCCACTTCATCATAGTTCTGCAACCGTAAAAATCGCCAACAAGTGCAAACCATGACCCTCAAATTTTACTCGCTTTCATGAAGGGCCGACTGATAGTACGACGAAAAGTAAGGGTTCCGATATCTCCCAATTCATTGTTCTTTTTTAATTTTATATATTGGAAATTGAATATTGGATGTTGGATGACTCTCGATCGAGGGATATAAAAATTGGCGTTTCTGGTCTTAGAAGATGTGAAATCCTCGCGACGAGATCGAGGGTTTCAGGCATGTCGCGGCGGTGCAACTGGTAACAGGGCTCCCAATTTGCTGAACTTAATTTCTATAACTCATTTTGTATTCCAAAACAAAATGGGTTTCTTTGTGGCTTGAGAAATTTTGACTTCGATAAGCAACTTACTTAGATGTGCATTAAAGAATAATGCACACATCTTTTTTTTTTTGAAATCTTTACATTGCTCATTTTACCTGTTATGCAATTGAAAATAACGTCTCACTGGGAAATATCTATACAAGGTGCAGGCAAGTCTGCTGTATTGAATAGCCTAATTGGACATCCAGTATTGGTAAGTGATGAGAGCTTGTGTGGCTTTTGTTGAATGATTTTGTCATTCATTTTCTGCAAATATAATCGTCAATTGTTTGTTGCATAATTTTACAGCCAACTGGTGAAGGTGGTGCCACACGTGCTCCAATCGTTGTTGACTTAACAAAGGACAACTCTCTAAGTAGCAAATCTATAATTTTGCAGATTGATAGCAAATCTCAACAAGTTTCTGCAAGTGAGGCTTCTAACAGATTATATTGGGATTATTTGGTGTTAATTTGTTGTTTGAGGATTGGACCATTCTTCTTTTTTATAATGATCTTTATGCCTACTTTAGGTGCTCTTCGGCATTCATTATAGGACAGACTGAGCAAAAGTTCTGGCAAGAGTCGAGATGAAATAAATTTGAAGCTCCGAACGAGTACAGATGTGTTTATTTTGAAAAGTTGCGTGTTTCACCTGTTTGATAATTACCATATGGACCCTATATATGCTTATGCTTTCGCATGTTGAGCGCAGAGTAGTTTGAAAATCCTAGATAAATTGTTGGTCATTGAGTAGAAAGAAATTCTATATAACCTTTCTGTTAGCACCAAGGCATCTTCGCTGGGACGGTGGGAGCGCCTCCTCTTCAGTATCCTTCGATATTTTTTCCCAATTTTAGTTTTCTATAAAAGTTTGTTTTCTTTTTTAGTTATTTCTAAGATCTGTTTCGAATGTTCGTGTTTTGATTTTGCAATCTGTTTGTTTGTGCGAAAATTTAGAGCTTTGGAAATGGGATCTGATAAGGTGTTCAATTGGGTCAGATGATTATCTTGTGTCTTTTTTTTTTTTTTTGGTGTGATGTGGTTTGTGGAAGGACCTTAACGTTTGTGCGTAGACACACTGGTGTTTGTGTTGATGTGGTTTGTTTGCTATAATGGCTTTAGGTTCACATCCGAGTTGTGCAGCTGTTCATTTCTTCTCAGCCCTGCATGTCCGACATAAAATGCTGGCTCATTGTTCTTTCTTCCACCTCTGGTGAATTTTTCTTCTGTTTGTCTCATAAATTAGTGCACACACACACTGTTAATTATTTTAATTGTTAAAATGTAAACACACAAGATGAATGCAGGTTATGGTTCTGTATGCAATCTCAACACTGCTCTCTCAGCAGAACATTATCGTAGAATCTCTACGATACATGTATTGTCACCAGGTGCATTATCTACTCTATAATATATTTCCTTTTGCAAATAAATACGTATTAGATTCATCGCAGCACACTCGTGGCATATTTTGAATTACAAAATGAAGACTGTGTTTACCCATAGAAGGCCGCAACACCATGTTCTGCACACCCCTTAAATTATATTTTCCTGTGTTCATTAGGGGAAGGGATGGAGAACAATAATGCATGCGCTCGATCAAAAAAATGGATACTCGATCACGGTACTTTGAAAATGGGTGAAAATTGCCTTTCAGTAAATTATCAATTAAAGGAGACAGTTATTTCTGCTTTCCTATTTCAGATGAAGTATGCAACCCGGTGCCCCTTGAATTTTGGCTACTGCCGTCTTTTTCCCTCATGAATCCAGGTCAAACCACTTCCTTCAAAATGACTTTTACGTCACTGTGCGGATGAAGTTGCAAAACTCCTCCCTTTTAAAAGAAATAGTGGTTGAGTTGTAAAATGTATATAATTCAAACTTAGTCGCATTTGCATTAAAAAGTCGAGTATGTTAACTAATAATCATAAAAATGGTGAAGTTGGGATGGTAAGAAAGAGCTTTAGTGTCCCAAATTTATCATCTCCTGCAGGTAATAAAGATCATAGCATTTCTCATCATGAAATCAAGAAAACCTACTCTCATGTCGCGCTTTGGAAAATCTCAAGGCCATTGTATAAAAGGTATTTTTACTACTTAAATATGTGTTCATGGTTAATTTCACCTACCCATGTGAACATAGTTCCAAGCCGTTGAAACATGTGTGTATGTGCGTCGGGTCAAATTAGCCTGTATATATTCACATTCTTTTCTTACTCCTTTTTAAGTAGTAACGTTACCTACATAAAACATTAGGTTTTAAAGATTTTTGGGTACTTTTAGGTGGTTTTGCTTTCATTTAATGTGGTTTTGCTTCTTTTAATATCTTATATCTCCCTGTAAAAATTATATCTTTTCTTACAAAATTATTTACTTTCAGTTATAATATATGTCGTTTCTGCTGTTTTGGTCATAGACATGTATGGTACTTTTGCAGACTCAAACATAAGGTGATATTTTACCAAATTCCTCTGGTCTTCTGCAGAGATTGTATCAGAATTTTTATTTCAACACAATGAACTGAAGTTATGGTGTTGAAATATTATATTGTTGAAAAGTTAGCCCTAGATTTCGTAATATTATATTGTTGAAAAGTTAGCCCTAGATTTCGTATAGGATAATATTGAAGACATATAAGAAAAACAGTTTGAATCAATAAATTCAGTAAGCAGGGACACTGAAATTGGTGCATCCTTTCATATGATGATATATCAACAATAGTTAGATGAACAATAATTTGTAATGCCGCAGTTTTATCTGAACAAATAACTTTTTTAGTCTCTTCTGATTAGGTGCACATGTACATAAAGGAAATGGGTAGAAAAAATATAGGAAATGGGAATATAGAATAGAGCCACATAGTTCATAGTTGTGATACTTTAAATGGAACTACCTCTTTGTTTTTAATGTTTCTTTTTCTTTGCTCGACTTGAAAATTTGACTTCGCCTTTTAGGAGCAACTGACTAACCTTGTTTTTCTTCTTTATTTAAACATTTTTTTATGTGGCTTTTACTTTATAGCTGGAAATTCTAAACAATTATGTATCTGAACGCCTCTCTTAATCTTCCTTTATAAAATTCTATGATACTTACTGGGTGCAGTTGCTGGAAGCATTATGTTTAATTATTCATAACAGGTAACACTTTTATTGACCAGACAATAAGCACTGAACTGGACCAACATGAGAAATACAGCTTGTCAGCTCCTTAAGTTTCAAGATATTAACCGACTATTCAATAGAAAAGGCTTCTTCTCACTGTAACTATTCCGGGCTTCTCTGTTATATATATAAATATTATATTTTTTTAATTCATTATTTTCCATCAAGCATTGCACGGTCTGATAAACTTGAGAGAGAGAGAGAGAGAGAGAGAGAGAGAGAGAGAGAGAGAGAGAGAGAGAGAGAGAGGCTAGATCGACAGAACTTCGTCTGAGGTGAAATTCCAAATATCCTTTTGGCCCGATCTTCTCTGCAAGCCCTAATTTTCGTTCGCAGTGAAATCTTGGTCTGCTCATCTCGAAAATTCAATTGCGACCAACATAATCGTGAAAGGCTAACGTTGTAGGTGTCTACCCGAGTAGATTCACGACAGTGGCATGAAGCTGGATTTCCCGATGCTGGAGCCGCTTCAGTCCCGTCCGTAATGTGTATGACCACGGTATTTTCTTTGAACTTTAAGTATGGCATACATTACGTACCTTTGTGTGTAACTCATTGTAAAATTTTGTTGCTTTTCTAAAACTAGATATAGTTATTTATGCCTTTACTTTAGTTCTATGCCTCATGCTTTCGATCTTTTTTCCCTATTTGTTTTGTAGTATCAGCAAAATTAGGATGTACACGTTGTATGGTTGATTTGAAGACAATTCTTTGGGTATTTAAGAGCCAGATTTCAAATAGGCCAACTTCTATGTGTTACATTTTGTTTGTTTGTTTCGTAATTTGTACGTGCTATATATCAGTAGATCAAAGTGTATCGAAGGCAGTTGATATCCTTTATTTTGAATCATATGAAGGAACTCTCGAGGATGGTTACCTTCCTGATAATGAACTCTGCGAGCATGGAGATAAGACAATAAAAAACTCCGTGTTGAATGATCTGATGGGATCTGGAGGTGCTGTGCTGGGAGTATTTGATAAAGTTTAGCCCGTCCAAATGAGACCTAATAGGTTCGTGAAAGAGGAGCCGAGTGAGCCAGACATGGTTATATCATCAATATCTTGGTGCCCTTCAAGACGCGTATGGAGTTGGTGAGCAAGTTTTTTCGAACTAGGGATCATTTTGTTGAGAAATTTTGTTCTTGGTCTTGAATTATTGAAATTCATATTGGACTTTTATAAGATGTATTAGTTTTAGTTTTGTTATCTGAACATAAACTTGATTTGGAGTCGGAGGATTGAGATTTGGACTTGGAGGATTGAATTTTCTGCTACCATCTTAACTAAATCCATTCTTAGATATGACTTTTAAATCTATTAACTTTACAGTATTTTGCTAAATGCTTTTTTTTCTTTACGAATCTTTGCTAAATATTTTAGCATATTCAACACCAGGGTCGGCATCGTCTTTAGTCTGAAGATGCTCAGGTCAAGGTGTAATGTCCAGTCGGACTGCTAAAAGTATTTTAGGATACATCATCAATTCCTGTCGATCTTATCGACGCTTAAATTCATTAAAAGTTGTTGTTGCTTGAATGTAGGTAAAATAATTAAAGGTATGTCCAATTACTTGTCGGAAAGGAAATTGAACAAGATCATACTAGATACCGGATTATTATAAGTGTATTTAATTATAAGATAAATTGTACAATTGACTTAGATTTGTTTATCTGGATTTTATGTGCAATTATTTGTTTTATACAATTGCAGGTACTCTATATATGTAAATGTTTTATATCTCATTTTAATACTTTTTGGAAAATATAGTAATTATAAGC